AGAGAGAGAGAGAGAGAGAGAGAGAGAGAGAGAGAGAGAGAGAGAGAGAGAAGAGGACTGACGGACACAGACGGACAGAGAGACAGAGGAGAGAGAGGCAGGCTGACAGGTTGCAAATCAAAGATTGTTTTTCCCCGCGGACTCTGGTTACAGCCAGGGCTGACTTTTGGACCATTATATTTTTGGGGTGAAATGGGGATGGAAGAGTGAATGGGGCCACTATTTTATGCCACTTAGGATACTCCACAAGAAGTTGTTTTTTTCCATCACGACTCACACGAACTTATGTTTTGTTCCTTTTTAATTAGTTAACGTAGTTATTTAAGATCTATAAAATTCTGTAATATAACCAGCTATCTTTAACTATTCCGTCTTCTTGAATGATAAAAATAATTATTTTCCATTTATTTATTTGTCGCACTCCACGGCTAGGTTTACAAGCCACTCTTGTAAATCAGACCAATAAATAGTGACCTTCAGTTTTCAACATGGCGACCAAATTGTCCTCGGTGCTCCGGTTCCAGCCACTTAGACTTGCATGGTAACCATCTGTGTTTGTTGCATCAGCTTAATTTAGCTTTTGGAAATCATATAGATCTAGATCTAGATCTGTGGTATGTATAGATCTTTCTAGATCTAGTCTAGATCTAATAATTGAGCCAAAGAACCGGACGGATCAACTGCTGCGCACAACTTGGGCATTTGACAAGTAAAAAGCTTAAAAAACGCACAGACTTACACAACTTCAACTTGTTATTTTAACTGTTAACTAGATCTAGATCTACAACTTACTACAAGCAGGTAGGCTGACAGGCATCAATCTACGGTAAGATTGTACTTTACCGGACCACCGGTCGGAACTACTTTCGCTGTGGCGCCCCTGGTGCCTAGTGGCCCGCTGTTCTTCGTTTCCGAGCTCCCCTACTCACTCTCCTACTCAGTTTTCTACGTCCTCACTCTTCAACTGCCAGTAATCGACTGACGTCTCTTACCGGGTTTTTCAGTCATCACGACTGTGCCCTTTGACCCATGACCCTGACACCTTGAGGCTAAAATTGGTCAATCTAATCACTTGGTCCACTATTCTTATTTGAGCCATTGGGCATTGCCAAAACTTGGGGAAAAACACACACATCTCACATTAGTGTGCATAAAATGTGATGCATTAGTATTTATTCCTCCAAACCGTATACACACGTCAAATATAGGATGTAGAACCTGCATTTTAGCAGTTTTAGACCCCATGTCAGCTTTATAATCTTGAGTTTGTAAATGTTGTGCCAAAAATGTTCGTTTTTTTGTGATTCCTGGAGTGTCATTTTGAGCACACCAATGCAAACTTCCAAGAATGTCCAAAATTTAGTATTTTGGGTTTTTTTTTTTTACGTGTGCTTTGATCCTATGCTATTTGTCATTGAGAAAGGTTAACTTGCTCAAGAAATCGGTTTATTTGTTTGCAAATAGACGAACAATTCCGATTACTTGTGCGTCTGTCGTGTCGTCACGGACTAGGTGTTTCAGAAAACACCATTATTTTTCAGTAGAATCACCGTAGCTGGTTAAATCTTTTTGCCTATTGTCGTTTATTCAATACTTCAAAAGCCGCGATGCACGAAAGGAACATCAGGTTCCTAGATCTACGATTTCGGTCGGCTGTTTAACATTCGCCGTTATTGTCCTCAATTTGCGACATGCCGGAAGTCCGAATTTCGCCCACTTGTGTTTTGAACGGGTCATCAACAGTGCCCGGATATAATTGTTTTCTTGAGTGACTTCCCCTTACCCGCTTCCCCTGAACAACGGAAGCAACGGGGGAAACAGAAAAACGAAAGTAGTCATTGCCTTCAGCGTCCGGTGACGCACAAGTATTTTGCGTTGAATGTGACGTACTGGGCTGTTTTACATGTTTTTAGGCTAATCTAGCAATGCCAATCAGGCTTTCCCGCGAGGCGAAAATTTGGTCCCCGTTTACGGGCGATTTTGTGGACCCGGCCGAAGCGTAGGTGACTAACTTCGTCAACCTCGGTCTGCTCTATTTCCGAACCAATCCGAATGAAACTCGGCTACCAATCAGAAAATAGGGCAAACTAATGATATGTGGACGTTGAAGTTCGTACACATAAATTAACCTATACTTTTGGTGTCGGGAACACTTTCGTATCGTGTACACCGAAAACTATAAGGAGTTTGAATTTCAACGCCCAGATGGTAATAGATCTATCTATCCTCTATAGTGTGCTCAAATTTGAGAGTTCTGTGTCAAGTAGTTGTTTAGACCCGATCGTAAATCTACGACTACCCCCCTATCCAAAGCGGCTTCGCATGGAGACCGGCCATTTTCCCCTCACTCCCGTGGCAAATGTCTGTGACCTACAAATCCCCGCATGACTATTCCGGGCCCGTTCATTGGTCACTTGAAATAGGGCAATGGCGGGCGCGCGCATCCGGTTGTTTTTCTCTCTATTCCCCTGTAACATCGCAATGGGGGTATTCCGAGGCGAGGTTATCTCGTCTCGGGGTGTTCGCGTCTCAACGGGGAAAAAGAATTTTTAATTGTACGGCATGCTAGATTGAATTAACTTATCTTTTACGGTTGGCATGGTCTAAAGTCATCATAAAAAGCTTTGCAATTATTTAGTCACGCTGCCGACATATATTCTTAAAGATCCCATGTTGTGATACGATGCTATAAATAAAATGGACTCATCCCGACACCCCTTTTTCGCAAAATCGTAATATGTACACCACAATTTTAATTATAACAAAATAACTACGAAATTGGTAATAAATCTGACTGCAGAAATGATTTCTACACTCAAAAACACATCGGGTAGCCAAGTTTCTCTCGAACATTTGGATTAGTTACCGAGATATCGTCGATTTTCTTACAGAATCTGCTACTGCGTGGTCCACTTTTTAGGAGTATTTTCCTATATGTGGGTCATCCATAGTTTGCCGACCTTTACAACCCCATAACTTTTTTAATTTATGAACCGATTCTCAAAATTCAAGAAGCATGATTATCAGAATGGAAAATTCTTTCTTAGGTACCAAAAAAAAGGGGGCAAAAGTGAAAATTTAAATTTTCATTGGCATTGCTAGCTAATCTGTTGAATATTTTAGTGAAATTGCAGGCCTTGTGTGGAATCAGGGTCCGTATGCCTTGTTATTGAACTAAAGTGTTCGCGTTTCATTAGATGGGGTGATTGTGATTTATCTTTATTTAAGCTTTCTGTTCAAGATTGGCAGATTTTCAGTGTCATTGCATCTTGCCCTCCCTCAGTTCTTACACCTCTTTCACTGAATAGGTTTACTTGAGCTATTCTAGTTATTATACTCTAATATTACTCTACTTTGAGTTTGAGCAATAGTTTTCGTCTTCACGTTTATTATATGAATCATGACACCCAGACTGGTTATTGACATTCGATTTTCTAGTTCTAGGTCTTTTCTCAGGCTCAAAACAGGATTCATTTTTATATAGGGCCTATAGTTTGTTATGTTGGCTAATATGATGAGGGGAAAATATAAATAAGTAAGAACAGACTGAAATACCAAAGTCTCTCAAGATCCCAGTGCCACACTGACAATGACATGTTGTTGACTGGATATAATGTACCTACATGTGTGTGTGTATTCACAAACATATACATGTATTATATTAGATATAAATGAAGCACACGCTTTCATTGTTATGTAAGGTGTTCCTGGAAAATGGATGAGGCCCCTCCCTTGGAAAATTGAGAAGCTGGGTTGGCAGTCACCCAGTATTATAGTCATCTATTGTTTGAAGACTATACTACAAAATGTACATTTGCATTCATTTATAGACATTTTGACTTTTTATCATTGATAGATTGGCTTTTTGGGGGGGATCATTCTTGACGCGCAGCGGCTTGATTTTTTCCTCGAATTGGGGTCTTGAAAAAAATTTGGGGGTCTTGAAAAATTTTTCAAGGATTTGGTGGGGACCCTGAAAGGAAAATGGTAACAGTCAGCTTGTATTTTATAACCCAATATAACGCGTACAGGGCAGTGTTCAAACCTTAATATCTCAAAAACCATACTTTTGCGAAAGTTTATGGAAAAGACATGAAATCTGACATGATGTAACGGGATTTGAACTTTGTGTCGATTGATGGTGGAGAAAGTAATGGTGTGTTGTTGGTGTCAGTAAATTGTCCGTCACATTTACAGGTGCACCTTGCGGAATCTTGGATTTGAGAAAAGCTGTCTTTACTCATGAAGCCTTGCCTTAGTATGTTTTTTTAAAACCATTTTACAGTGTCCGAGCCATGAGTGGTGGACAGTTTGGTGATGGAGCTGGCAAAGTAAGTTGTTTAGTTTAGTAGTTTAGTGATCTAATGCCATGATAACTATTGATAATGTCATGATAACTATTGATAATGCCATGATAACTATTGACTATTGATAAATTTATGTCATGTATTTGACTAAAGAGGGAAGTTGATGGATTCTTCAGCCTTGTCTGTCTGTTATTTCTTCTTTTCAATGTCACTATTGACTATTATCTAATCGGTTTCTCTCAAAATGTGTGTCCATTACAGTAGTTCAACTCCAATGTGTAGTTTGCTCTGACACCGGGAATATCTTCTAGATCTACTCATTCTTTCCTATCGAACAACCATCTTTACCACTCCTTTTTTGTGTTACTCTCTTGTAACACCTCTAATCTTCGGCACTTATGTGACCTAATTGTGTTGCAAGTGCCCTAAAACGTTTACTAATACAAACAAGGGTACCCATATGTTGTAGGACCACAGTCAGTTGGCTGGATTGATTTTGTTTCTCTTTAGTACTTGGCAGTTCTTGGGTATGATGGGAATTCTTTGTGTGATGACTGTGTGGTGTTATTATGGGATTATCGTGTGTGTCAAACGTAAGTCGTGACACGGTGCCATTTTTTCTCTTCACAGGGTGGCGGCAGTGGAGGCTCTGTGAGGTAAACATATGGGGAAAACCCAAGATTTCCTGTCCACATTTATGTCCGTGACCAGTATAACTTTTAAGTAATCCAAGGATATAGTACATGTACTTGTTCAAGTGTCACTCACTATATTTTATACACCGGCTCATCGATTGTGTCACTTTTCTTATTCTCCCTTTTTTTCCCATCTGACTCATCATTTCCAATAACCGGCAAATCTAAGGCAAAAAGTGAATGTATTCGCCTTTTTAAAGTCATTTTCATCTTTACGTTTTATGAGAGCACGCGGCCACCCACAAGCCTAGATCTGTATTTTTCAAGAATCAATCGCTTGTAAGTCCAGCAGGAAAGAAATACTAGCAAATTTGGTACAGATATGCGTCTTTTATTCCCCAAAATGAATCTTCGCAGCGCCAGTGGCTAAAATTCCATACGGAAGACTGATTTAACCCTAACTCTGGCAAGGGCCGATTAGATCGGCCCATTTCCTGCCATGAAACTGGCAGGGCCGATCTCATAGGACCATATACAATGGAATCCTGTTATTACGAGAGGGAGGGGACCGGAGCAGTAATAAATTCCAGGGAAACTGTAAAGTAGGCCTAGTCTATGAGTTTGGTGTTCTTTTTATTTCCTTTTGCTATCTCCCCTGATGATGATTTTGTTTCAACATGACCTGTGGGTCTTACTTGATAAAAAATCGAATCAGGTTTCTTTCTCTAGTGCTAGATCTAGCGATGTGGACTGACAGCTCGGCGTTGGCGATCAGAAAGAAAGGACTCTGGGCTAACTCGACCGCTGTTTTTTTCCCCTACCCCACCCTGTGGTGCATTCTGTCTGCTTGCGCACGTCACACATTCGCTCCATGCATCACAGCACTGTGACCTCTCCATTCCCGCATGGGAGAAGTGAGAGGCATGGTAGGCCTTGATAATCTAAACTAGGCTTACGCTGGCCTATCATGCGATGCGTTCTGCCTGTCTGCGCATGCCACACCCTCCCTACTCAGTTGCCCCGGCCTTCATTGTTGACACACATGGGATCTCCTATCCTTTGTTTTGCAAGATCATCAACAAGTTTCTCAACTGGCGAGGTTTTACATTTATGTATAATTGGCCTATGCACTGTGCACAGCAGCAGCAATATTCTGCTATAACCGACTCTCATGTTTGTCTGATAGCGCTATAGCAGTATTTTATTTACAAAGGTAAAGAGGAGAAAAAAACGGGGTTTTAGAATAGTGTCTTTATCAGTGCTTCCACTCTTCCGTATTTTTACGGAAATCCGTACTTTTTGCCAGTTCCGTACTTGTCCCCCCATCACTATCTACTCCCTCCGTAAAAAAACTGCGACAGTGCAGGACTGCCGAAATTCCGTACTCGCCTTCGTATCGTCTTGTATAAGGTACGGATATTTCCGGTAATTCTCTCGGCAACAAGTTAACGTTATAGAAACCTGCCAAATTGCGCATTTCCTGCAATCGGACATTATACCGCTATGTCCCAGTCCCATGCATTCATTGCGTGTTGGTCGGCAGTACATTTTTTACCTGCAGATGGATCAAAATCTGGCGAACCTTTTGTGCTAACTTCCTCCTTTCTGTCATTCACTCATTCCTTCTGTCCATCTTCAGATTGTTGCCGCGGCTGGAAAATCTGCGCGTTGATCAAGACTGATTTTGATCTTAGACAGAAAATTACTGTCGGAAAGAAACTTTTTTCGCAAATTTTATCTAGATCTAGAGAAATTATCAATGCGAAGATTCTGCGGCACGTGAACGCAATATAAGGGGCGCGATGAAAGAAATATATTTATGCTGATACGGTCGTGCCCACTATGGATGGGATCGTCCGATTGCGCTGATCGCCCGACTCGGTCGAACAACCGTGTTTGCTTTGAAACTGAAAACAAACACGTTTGTTTTTGAGGCGATCGGCCGGATGCCGATCCCGTCCATAGTGAGCACCACGTATAAAATCAAGAATAATTCGAAGTGGTGTTCCGAGGTTGTGACAAGCGTAGAAAAAACGTGGGTATACGCTGCGCAACCGTATTTTGCAGGTACATCTATTCGTTATTCCCAGGTTTGCCTGCTGTCCATGGTGTGACTACAAATTAATTGAATTATAGTAGCAATGAAAGGGGAACCTGCTTTTAAACATTTCCAGCATTGGAAAGATATGCTGGTGATGAAGTCAAACAAGACAAAATATTGGTGAAAAAATAAATATTAAATTAAGGGCTGTAGGCAATATCTTCAAACAGGCTCCCAAATGCCATTTTCTACCCTCTAAAAGCACTAAATTTCAATTTCTTCTGTCCCTGGACCCTGCTGGGGGCCTCTGCTGCCCTCAGACCCCCTGCAGAATTTTCGTTACTTTTCAACTTTAGCTGGTGGAAGCACTGCTTTATAACAGACTTCTCGTTTTTTCCGGACTCGTTTTAAGTGGACTCCACTGTAGTAAACTGCTGCTTCTGCCTTTCAACTAAATGTTTGGGGCTTCCTAAAGTGATTTCTGGTTGGCTAAAAGGCTAACCTCCAACCAATCAGAATATTTCTACCATTCTGGCTTAGGAGAAGAGTATTTTTCTTTCAAAACAAAGGGATGTTATGAAAGCTTGTTGATCAGGACACAAGCCACTAATGCCATTGTAGATCTATCACTTGTGCTACTCATGTGGGTCTAAAATGGCCAAAAACGATCTTTTTTGGATACATTTGAAAGTGAATTGACTAGGGAAAGTAATTCATACACTGTTAGTGGTGGATTTATTGGTGTTCAGTCAAGAATTGGGATTAGATCTGACAGACAATGAGGATACATGTCCAGTTCTCATCCTGCCCCAACTTCTCTTTCAAATGGAACACTAGATTCTACTACTTTGGGAGTCTAATAGGGGCAGAAAAAGGAGAGCTATAGAGTAAAGTAGGTTCCTTTTGCTATACTAATTATTACAGACTACCAGCAGATTGCTGAAAACCACATGGTTGTACTTAAAGTGTTTTTATGTTGAGTATGGTATGAAAGTAGCGAGTATCAGCTGCGCTCGAAACAGACCACATGACAAATTGAAACAGTCATAACTCATTACCTGTTCTTCTCAAACCTATAAATCTATACATTTTCTGAAAGGTAATTGAAAACCCCATATTTCTGCTATCTCACATTTTTATAACATGAAATACATTAGATTGGTGAATATGCTAATGAGCATGTAAATTTTTTATGTCAGCCATCTTGGATTTCAAGGTTACATAACCTCTTGTAAATTAAATCAAATCATAGGTTCAAAGGCAAAATATAAAAGCTCATTCAATTATCTTTCAGAAAATATATACTTTTGTAGGGTTTTTATTTGATACAAGTCCATAATTTTGATTTGTAAAACATGTGCACGTTTTGGCTGACTGGCCCTGCCATTCCTGTTGAAACCACTTGCCAGAGTTAGGGTTAATAAATATTGACACATCTGTAGTGAGGTCTTCTTGAATAATTTTTATGTTTAAATCTTCAGAGATGCCGGCGGTTCTTTCGGAAAGATGGAAGCAGCAAAGGAAGAGCAGTACTTCCGTCAGCTGGTAAGTCCAATGTAGCTTGCAGGAATGTAGACGGAAGTAGATCCATTCACCAAATGTCTAACGCATGCCAGAGAAAGGAGAAAAACGTTTCCGACGTTCTGGTCCAAAGGTGACATTTCTGTAAGGTGACGTGCTCTGATTTGTCATTGCTGAGCATGAGGAGAAAACACAGGAGAATGTGTCGCAACGCGCTGGAATCGGGCGTTCGTCAATTTTCGGGCGTGTTGATTTATTGGTAGAATCTTGAAGGCGGTCTGTCTATTTGCTGCCACTGAACAATAACAACCAACACTGTCTGTCTGTTGATCTGTCTGTTTATTTGTCTGTCTGTTTGTCTGTCTGTCTCCCCCAGCAAAAGGAGCAGCTATGTCTGTGTGTTGATCTGTCTGTCTGTCTGTCTGTCTGATCTGTCTGTCTGATCTGTCTGTCTGTAGCAAAAGGAGCAGCTATGTCTGTGTGTTGATCTGTCTGTTTGTCTGTCTGTCTGTCCCCCCAGCAAAAGGAGCAGCTATGTCTGTGTGTTGATCTGTCTGTCTGTTGACCTGTCTGTGTGTCTCCCCCAGCAAAAGGAGCAGCTGGACAAGATGAAGGACATGCTGGAGGATGAGGTGACCCACCACGAGCGACAGATCAGACAGCATCAGGTGAGACTCCCTCCTCTCTCTACTCATCTCTCCCTCCTCTGTGACTGTCTCTTCTCTCTCTCCTCATCTCTCCCTCCTCTGTGACTGTCTCTTCTCTCTCTCTCTCTCTCCTCATCTGTCCCTCCTCCTCTCTTCTCAACTCTCCCTCCTCTCTCTCTCTCCTCATCCCTCCCTCCTCTCTCTCTCTCCTCATCTCTCCCTCCTCTGTGACTGTCTCTTCTCTCTTTCTCTCCTCATCTGTCCCTCCTCTCTCTCTCTCTCTCTCTCCTCATTTCTCCCTCCTCTCTCTCCTCCTCCTCTCTCTCTCCTCGTTCTTCATGTTTCACTTCACACACTCACTGCTGCGGTGTAGACTGTTCAGACTTCGATAGGTCATCATGAAAGTATTGACTGTCTTGTAAATGAAACGTGCCCGAAGCTGAAGTTACCGTGCTTAAAGGCGCGTAATTTATATAGCAAAAATTCGGTAAGAGCCATTTAGCGTGCTTGAGTCCGAAACATGCTTTATGCCTGCGTGCTTAAAGCCGGCACGGACTGTATTATTTTTGTTTTCTCCACTGTACTATGTATTATTTCTCTTTGACCAGACCCCACAGTACTGGGTATTATGGTAGTCAGTATGTTAGTGTTTTAGCGCCTATAAATCTGTCCCCGTAGAATTATGCAAATTTAGAAGGGCAAATTATGCAAAAAAAGGCCAAATTATGCAAAAATTATGCAAATTACCGTAACACCATTCGCGAAATGTTTTGCACTTTTTCAACACAAAGTTTCATGATTTTCATGTCTTATGTCCAGAAAAATTGAAAACAGAACATATCAGTATCAGTAATTTATTGTGTATTTGGAAAAGAAAACAATACACATCAGTTAAAAAAAAAAAAAAAAACAACCAAAAAATATAATCTCTGTAACTTTCAGCTGTAGATCTAAATCTATAGTGGAAAGAAAAATGTTTAACTCACTTCAGACGGGTCACACAACAGTTGCGTGACCCCCGCCGCGACGCTCGCGACGGGTCTCACAAGCCCTGCGTGACCAACTTTGGAATTTTCTTTTCGCTCTACAAATCACGCACGGATCGCGAGACCCGCCTCATACCCTTGTTTGGCCAAGCCTGAGCTACTTAGACTTCGTTTCGTATCTCTGGGGCCGGTAGTTTTTAAGTTATTGAAGGTGAAGGACAGTGACCCCAACTGGGGTTGAACAGACCGGAACTCGCGCTTTGTTTTTTTCTATACAGCTGATAGTAATCCGACAGTCACATCGTAGTAACGGTCGAAGAAGTCGCATGAACAAGAATCACATAATTTCGCCGTTTTCTATACTTCTGTGCGTTTTACTAGTTCTAGTGTCTCAGAATATGATGAGTTTAATAGTTAGGATCCTGGATATGTACCCGAACACGGCCCGAGTCGTAGTTCTAGGGCTAGATCTAGCACTAGTACCGGTGTTGTTTTTCGCGCAACGAAATCACAACGTCGTGCCGTACATCTGTCTCATGTAATTCAGTGTATGGGTCTGAATCAATGCACAGACCAGCTTTTATATTTTCACCAAACACTCGCACATGTATACAAATCAAACCAGAACACTTTGAACTTTTATTTTTGTTGTTGCAGTGAATTTCATTCTACTTGTCACGTCTGGAAATTTTTCGGAAAATCAAATTCATGCCAATTTTAAAAAAATCATACAAATTAAAGTATTAGACTTAGACAACTTCAGTTTTTTGTATTAGATTAAGCTTGAATGTTACTTTACTCTGTCAAAAAATGATTACAATAGGGTAATTCTGAGAGTTGTGGTGATTTATTGAAATAAACAGGATTCTTGCGCTGAACCTTCCTAACATCGAGGTCTTTTCTGAGCAAGTTGAACATCCCCAACAAATGTACAGAAAAACTATCTTGATGCAAAATAAAATTGTTGATTTGTATATCGGCGTTGTTGTCTTTTGTTAAAAACGCCAGTCTTCAACGCTTGTGACTGGTGAAAGGGCCCAGTCGCAAGTGAGTTTAAAAAAAAAGAAGAAAAAAAGGACATCTTGACCTCTGATGCTGGCACATTACTAAAACCAGGGACACCTGTCAAACATGAAGCATCAGCAGATATGAGAACAACAACTTTTGATGTATTGAAAAATTGAACATGCTCAAGGAACAAAATCACAACCCATAAGCCAAGATTTTCTAACAAGGGAAATAACCAACTTTTCACTTAAATGAGACTTATTACGGTGATTACGTCCCTTTAGTCACATGGTGAGGAGTTAATTGTTTTGTGAAAAAACGCGGAGAATCCAAAATTATGCAAATGTTGCAGAATTACGCGAAAAACGCGCCGCGGCCGCACAATCGCATAATCCTACGGAGACAGATAAATGGCTGCTTGCACTGTATGCTTCCCAGGAAGTTGAGGTTGTTTCAGAATGCTCTCAGGTCTGCTGGGGTAATAGTATAGATTGTGAAGCGCATAGAGCTTGCTGTTGATCGGGGATTTGCGCTATACAAATGTTATCTATTATATAATGATGATGATGATTTGTGTTGTTGGTCCCCAGGAGGCCATTGACCACCACAAGAAGAGGATCGGGCGGCTGGCCAAACAGTCGGGCTCCGACTCCGACTAGACGTGACCGGCCTGTGTGGGGTTCCGTGACCCTCGACTTGTGACATGTGTGGTGTGACCTTTGGGACAAACTGGCCAAATGTTGTCGACTATTGTGGTAGATGTTGTAAGTCCGCGCTGTGTTCCGCAGTCTCTGCGCGGCGCGCGCATGTGTGTCGATAGAGGAAATGTCTGGCAGTCTGGCTGCGGTTCTGTGATCCGTGTTGTTTGTTCATCCAGTTTGTGGAGAGCAGTGTTTTCTTCTAGCTTGTAGTTTTTCTGTACATTTGTTGGGGATGTTCAACTTGCTCAGAAAAGACCTCGATGTTAGGAAGGTTCAGCGCAAGAATCCTGTGCCGACTTTTTCCCCCCAAGATGTCTTAACTTTGTTGTGCAACATTTGGGCTGAGGTCTGGTGTGGAAAGTTCCACTAGGAAATGAGTTCCCGATTCACCTCAATTTGTCTGTGGAGTTTTTGTCATAATTTGATCTTGATGCAAAATAAAATTGTTGATTTGTATATCGGCGTTGTTGTCTTTTGTTGAAGCAATCTCCTTGTGGGACAAATCTGTGCTACGTGTTGTTGTAGGTGTGACAGGATGAAAGTGACATCCACGATATAACAAATGTTGTGACAGGATGAAAGTGACATCCACGATATAACAAATGTTGTGACAGGATGAAAGTGACATCCACGATATGACAAATGTTGTGATAGGATGAAAGTGACATCCACGGTATAACAAATGTTGTGACAGGATGAAAGTGACATCCACGATATAACAAATGTTGTGACAGGATGAAAGTGACATCCACGATATAACAAATGTTGTGACAGGATGAAAGTGACATCCACGATATGACAAATGTTGTGATAGGATGAAAGTGACATCCACGGTATAACAAATGTTGTGACAGGATGAAAGTGACATCCACGATATGACAAATGTTGTGATAGGATGAAAGTGACATCCACGGTATAACAAATGTTGTGACAGGATGAAAGTGAGGCCAAACATTGAGGTGGTGACAGACCTTGGTGGTTGACACAACTCACTGGGTGGGCGGAGCACGAGGCAGGATGAGCCCAGCTGTCCACATACAGGCAGTGTTTACACAGGTGGCACTGTGCGCGAGTGACTGGAAGGTGTGCTAGTGATGTGTAGGTCAGTGTGTGATGTGATGTGAAGGGCAACATCATATGACGCAGCACATCCTGTTGCAGTGGCGAGAGTGAAAATGAACATTTTACCGGCGATCACTAATTGTTTTTTTCGCTTGGCCTTGTCCTCAGTGCAAAGCCTAGGTAATATTTTTTAAAAACGTTCATGCAAAGCATGATATCATTGGTTAGAATGAATGATTGTGAAACTCAATCTACAATTCTTCCTTCAGAGGACCTAGGAGGTGCCGGCCCACAAGACACTATAGTGTGGTCATACATTCGTGGAGCAACTTATTGTCAAATATCTCCTCAACTATCAGTCATTTTTTTTCTAATCGAGAGATTATCTTTATTGAACGCATGTTTGGAGAACTTGTAGTGAAAAAAAAGCGTTCAGTTTAAAATTAATTTCTTGTAACTAGTTTTTGCCACTAAAAACTGTCATTGGTGAGCTGTGACGTAGGCCATATATAAATGCGTATACAAAATGTGTGTGAGAAGCGGGAAGTGCTGTGAACGTTCCCATTTTCTGTGTGAAGGAGATTTGTAGTATTTTATATAAATTTATGAAGAAACGTTTTTTAATCCAGCCTCTATTGTTGTGGAAAAATGTGATTAAGTTAAGACAAATCGATACAAACTGCTGTGCAAAATATGGGCGGCATTAATTCAACCGTTAAAGTTAAAGAGATATTTTATTTGAGGATAAGTTGCGCCACAAATTTTTGTGTGCACTATATCTTGTTCATAAGAGCCTTTTTGTACTCGAAAAGTGAAAAAAATTAGTGACCGAAATAGTGTAATGCTCTCCAACTTATGTCAGTTTCTTCAGTAAACAGGACGAACCCTTTTGCTTCTGGGTCATTTTAATTTTATTTTTCTCTCACTCACTTAACTCACTAGTCACTAGTCTCACAATACATCCTGGCAGGCTATGGCTGGGGAATTTTATTTTCCTCTCACAGCCGTAGCATGAGGGGATCTATCGTCCAACTGAGGTACAGAGTACCGTAACATGAGGGGATCTATCGTCCAACTGAGGTACAGAGTACCGTAACGAGGGGATCTATCGTCCAACTGAGGTACAGAGTACCGTAACGAGGGGATCTATCGTCCAACTGAGGTACAGAGTACCGTAACATGAGGGGATCTATCGTCCAACTGAGGTACAGAGTACCGTAACATGAGGGGATCTATCGTCCAACTGAGGAACAGAGTACCGTAACGAGGGGATCTATCGTCCAACTGAGGTACAGAGTACAGGACACGTGCAGGACAGCAGAGACGGACACCAGAATGAGCTGTGATATTTCCTCTCAGGCTGTACCCAACCATGTTGGTCACATCACAATACAGCAGACACTGTGTTGGTCACGTGAGCACACACATTACACAGCACCGTGTTGGTCAGGTGAGGACACACATTACACAGCATACACATTACACATCACCGTGTTGGTCAGGTGAGGACACAGCTGTAGGCTACACAGCAGAAACTGGCACGCTGCGAGGCCCGGGGATGGTACAGTCAAACCTCGTTATACTGCTGGGGGGTAGATCTGTCCGAGAAGGCTAGGTGTAGATCTTTCTTACCAGAAGATCAGACGGTGGCTGAGAGACAGCCGTAAGAAGGAGCCAAGGAGTAGCAGTAGAAAGACTGCAGAAAGAGCCAGGAGCCCAGAGAAGGGGGCAGAAAGTGGAGGCGAAAGCAGACAACAGAACATTGCTAGAGAGCAGGAAAAAATGTAAAAGAAAATTTACCATCGCTATCTGGATTAGAACCCGTTAACCTTTAGGTCATGAGAGACATTTACGTCCAAAGAATCAACACAGAAACATGCCATAGGTTTATTCAAAATTTCTAGTGGTACAGTGTAATCCTGTTATAACGAGAGGGAGGGGACCGGAGCAAAATGTCCGTTATAGCAGGATTCTCGCCATAAGGGATCCAGTAATAAATTCCAGGGAAACTGTAAAGTAGGCCTAGTCTATGGGTTTGGTGTTCTGTTTATTTCTTTTTGCTATCTCCCCTGATGATGATTTTGTTTCAACATGACCTCTAGGTCTTACTTGCTCAAAAATCGAATCAGGTTTCTTTCTCTAGCGCTTGATCTAGCGATGTGGACTGACAGCTTGGCGTTGGCGATCAGAAAGGAAGGGCTCTGGGCTAACTCGCCCGTTGTGTTTTCCCCCACCCCACCACACTATGTGGTGCATTGCTGTAACCTCTCCATCCCCGCATCGGAGAAGTGAGAGGCATGGTAGGCCTTGATAATCTAAACTAGGCTTACGCTGGCATATCACACGATGTGTTTTGCTTGCCTGCGCATGCCACGCCCTCCCTACTCAGTTGCTCCGGCCTTCATTGTTGACGCACATGGGCTCTCCTATTCTTTGTTTTGCAAGATCACCAAGTTTCTCAACTGGCGAGGTTTTACGATTTAAAATAGGCCTATGCCCTGTGCACAACAGCAGCAATATTCCGCTATAACCGACTGGCACGTTTGTCTGATAGCGCTATAGCAGTATTTTATTTACAAAGGTAAAGAGGAGAAAAAAACGGGGTTTTGAATAGTGTCTTTATAACAGATTTCTCGTTTTTTCCGGACTCGTTATAAGTGGACTCCACTGTATATATCGGAGCTTGTAGGGAAAGAAAAGGTCTACACCTGGAGATTTCAATAGCCATCACCTCCCTCAGTTTTTTGGCTGTATCAATTATTTTGTATGAATTTGTTCTTCACTGAACAAATAGTGACTATTACTATTTGAAATGGAGCAATATCGTTGATTTTTACGAAGTTGGTTGCAAAGTTTTGTGTTTCCCTCAATGACGGTTGACATTTTTAAAAATTTGATTTTTTTCTAACCAGTGCTTCCACCAGCCGAAGCTGAAAAGTAAGGAAAATTGTGCCACGGGTCTGGGGGCCCCGGCAGGGTCCAGGGACAGAGTCCCGCTGGGGGTTCAGGTGGCGAAGGCCCCGAGGAAATTGAAATTTAGTGCTTTTAGAGGGTTGAAAATGGCATTTGGGAGCCTGTTTGAAGAGATTGCCTACAAACCATAACATTTGTTTGCCAACAATTGATTTCTTCACCAACATATCTTTCCATTGCTGGCAATGTTTAAAAGCAGGTTCCCTTTCCATTGCTACTATAATTCAATTAATTTGTCATCGCACCATTGATAGAATGCAAACCTGGGAATAATGAAAAGATACCTTCACAATACAGTTACCCGGCGTATACCCTAATTTTCCTCAATTTTCACGCCTGAATGTCGCATGTCACAACCTTGGAACACCACTTCGAATTATTCTTGACTTGAGTAGTTTTAGGCAGGTTTTAGTTTTAGCATTATTTTCTTTCATCGTGGCCCTTATCGTGTTCCTGTGCCATTGAATCTTCGAATTAATCATTTCTCTAGATCTAGACAAATTTGTAAAAAAGTTTTTTTCAGACAGTAATTTTCTGTCCAAGATCACAAGTCAATTTACTTGATCAACGAGCAGATTTTCCATCCACAGCAACAATCCGAAGATAGACAGACGGAATGAGTGAATGATAGAAAGGGGGAAATTGGTACAAAAAGTTCGCCAGATTTTGATCAATCCACAGGTAAAAAATGTACTGCCGACAAGCCCTCAATGAATGCATGGGGGCATAGCGGAATAATGGCTGATGGCAGGAAATGTGCAATCTGGCAGGTTTCTATACCGTAACAAACTATTGCAGAGAGAATTATCGTAAATATCCGTAACTTATACAAGTAGGCTACTAGATGATACGAAGGCGAGTACGGATCTTTTGCTACAGAATTTCGGTAGTCCTACGCTGTTGCAGCTTTTTACGGAGGGAGTTGATAATGATGGAGGAACAAGTACGGAAATGGCAGAAAGTACGGATTTCCTTAAAAATAGGAAAGAGTGGAGGAAGCACTGTCTAACGGACCTTTTTTTGTGACAAAATGTAACGCCCCCCTGGTTGAGTTTGATTTCTTTGAAGTTTTGTTGAGATTGGGTCAAAATGTGAGTCAAAATGTGACCGAGTTGATGCCCTTTAGAAGGGTCCTCTTTTGAACAACACAGTAACAAAGTTGCCTTGTGAAAGAAACGTAAAAATGTGAACAATTATTTGATTCACAATCACAACAGATTCTGTAATCTAACTCTTTAGTTACAGTTACACAAACTACATTTGTCAGTGTCAGTAAAATTCCAAAAACAGTCTGAACAGTTTTACCTTGAAACATCTAACAACCCCCCCTCCCCCCCCCCAAACAAAGTTGTAATAAGCAGAGGAACACACCCATCAGTTTTAGGGAGATTTGGTTGACGAATTAAAAAGCCTTAGGGATTTATTTCATGTCTTTTATTTTCAAGACGCAAGCAGATATACACCAAAGGGCTTGTGAAAACATCTCACTACATCTCAGTCACTTCACAAATTCTCACTGTCTCCACTATTATTTGAACAATTTCTCCGTTGCTCCACCATTACTTGAACAAGATTTCTCTCACTCACTCACTCACTCTCTCACTCACCCTCAGCACACAGTCAAGTCAGCGGGACATGGAGATCTCATTATGTACAAATTTCCTGATGTACATGTTTGAAATACAAAGTACACACTTACATGTTTGAAATACAAAGTACACACTTACATGTTTGAAATACAAAGAACACACTTACATGTTTGAAATACAAAGAACACACATGTGTACATGTTTGACAAACAAAGAATAATATCGTGTAAGAAAATATTGAGGACCTGAGAACCTGTGGGCTATGTGTCACAACGTGAGAGCTGGACTGCAGCAGCGGACGTTGTACCAGATCCTCCAATTGTCTCCGACAATCAACCTGCAAGCAGTCACCCATTACCCTACAGTCACACAATACAAAGAAATGTTTCACCAGTCACCCATCACCCTACAGTCACACGATACAAAGAAATGTTTCACCAGTCACCCATCACCCTACAGTCACACAATACAAAGAAATGTTTCACCAGTCACCCTACAGTCACACAATACAAAGAAATGTTTCACCAGTCACCCATCACCCTACAGTTACATAATACAAAGAAATGTTTCACCAGTCACCCTTCTGTCACACAATACAAAGAAATGTTTCACCAGTCACCCATCACCCTACAGTCACACAATACAAAGAAATGTTTCACCAGTCACCCTACAGTCACACAATACAAAGAAATGTTTCACCAGTCACCCATCACCCTACAGTTACATAATACAAAGAAATGTTTCACCAGTCACCCTTCTGTCACACAATACAAAGAAATGTTTCACCAGTCACCCATCACCCTACAGTCACACAATACAAAGAAATGTTTCACCAGTCACCCATCACCCTACAGTCACACGATACAAAGAAATGTTTCACCAGTCACCCATCACCCTACAGTCACACAATACAAAGAAATGTTTCACCAGTCACCCTACAGTCACATAATACAAAGAAATGTTTCACCAGTCACCCATCACACGTGCTCAGACTCCCCGCCAGCATCGTGCACTTCCTGCGCCGCGGGTCGCTCCGACACGACACTGAGCAAGGCCACAGCCAGGGGTTGGGTGAGAAACTGTTCCCTCAGTTGTTGCTGCCGTGACGGCGGGATGACGCTCTCATCTGACACAATGGAAGGAAGCACAGGAAGACAGCTCACACAAAGGACACAACTCAAATAATAGAAAACAACAACACATCAAAGGTGCCAGGTACCTAAGGGCCAACTCAGAAATTTCATAAACCCCAGTTTGTGAGTAGGTTTTTCAATTTTCTTTTCTTCCCCTGATCAGAAAATCCAAGCTCCCGCCTTTACTTTATGTAGATCTAGGCCTAGATGTGAGAGGGTATGTTTCCACACGAGAAGTGTCCCGGGAAGTATTAAATATTTTAAAATTCAGAAATGACGGTCAGATGATCTCAAACACACGCACACTGATGCTGTTTGAGATTTTCGTTATCAGGGGGAACAACTGTTACAATTACTGGTATTGGTACATCGTGTAAATCGTATAATATAATAACTTGTCTCCTTTCTTTACTTTAGCCTCAGTCACGTTCAATGAGAGGTCGGATCCAACGAGGACAACAAGCCAGTCCCGGCAACCTCGTTGAGTGCGACACCCACTATAGAATAAAGAGGGGGAAAAGAATGTCAAATTTAGATCACGGCTTTTCTCTGCCGGCCAGAACAGTAAGCCACATCAAAGTCCGCAATATACCGTCCAGCTAGACTGATGAACAAACACACAGTGAAACTGAAACACACACATCAAAGTCCGCAATATACAGTGGAACTCGGATTCAACGAGGTCGCCGGGCCTGATTTAAAATCTCGTTGAATCCAAGTGTTCGTTATAGCAAACATGAGGTTTTGTGTAAATAATTCCAGGCACTGAGCAAGTAATGTACAAGAGAAGTCACAAGTAGTGCCTGTGTATTATGAGTTGTGGAAAAAAAAAAAAGAGAGCGATTCGTTCAAGTGCATGCGCCTGTGTCATCTCGAATGTTTACCAAAAAGTGGTGTAGCTGTGTGGAGCCTAGCATACGGCAACTTTTGATTCCATAGACCAGCGCACAATTCATTACGTAGATCTACGTCACACGGCGTCCGAAATTCCGTCTCAGCGATCTTTTAGTTAGTCCGGGCCCCCCCCGCGGTAGGCCATAAATTAGCGGCAGGTGACCTGCAATTTCACGCGTCAAGTCGGGGATTGACCGGGGTCAACTCGTGCACAGTGCTGTCCTATCTTGTCCTTATCAGAACGCGTTTCTTCCCCTAATTTCATGAGCCGTAAAATGATGCTCACACTACCCCTAGAATCTATTTCTTCACCAATTCCGCTTCGTCTACGTCTTCTTGATATCTTGTGAAAGTTTCAACAGTTTTCATTGATTCCTTTGGGAATAATAACAGTTTTAAATTGTGAGTGTTAAGTGATCGGAAGCGCCGTTAATAATGTTATCTCTTCAAATTTAATTACAAATCATTCGAGAATGGAACGATGGTCTTTATTTCTGTTTGCGCGGTGTGATAGCCATCAAATCATATTTTCTAATGATGTGAAATTTGTTTTTCCAGCACTTTGCGGTGACTGGCAATCAGTTAGTGAATTGTGTTCCTAAGTAAAAATCGTTAAACTGCAATGGGTCAGTCACACATATGAGAGGCAAATAGAGTCTCTGAATGAACTTTGTCGTGTGTGTTGGCGTTTAAATTTAATTGTCAAACAAAAAAAGTACAGAAAGCCCCGATTATGTAAGACAATGGCAGGAGATATTCTCTTGGTTTATGGGATTGATGTGAGGGACGAAAATGAACAGTCGTATTCCGCTAACATTTGTGTCAAGTGTTTTACTGCGATTTCAACTATCAAACGAGATATGGTGTTACGTCACGTCAATTCATGCCGGAAAAAAGCAGTTGACACTAGTAGGAACATGTGGTGTGCGTTTGACAATAGCATAAAAGTGGATTCCTTCTCCGTTTTGTCGGTACCGCTTAGGTGGCTGCATACAAAGATCCATTTCAAGTTAACATCGTAAAACACCCAAAGCATACCTCCCTCCATCCCCATGTATGCAAGGAACTAACAAACACAATTTGTACAGAAACAAGAAAATATTCCCGCGAAACTGCAAAAATTGAGGAAGCAAGTGGACTGGAAGCAATATTCAATCTTTTCAATGAAAGATTTAGCCATGTTTACACTGCAATATCACATCTCAAACCAGTCAAACTATTTTCACTTCTACAAATCTTAGCAATCGACAATTACATGTCCGCATTCAGACGCTATTTCCCCGCAAAGTTATCCCAAAGCCACACATATCATAGCAACACTGTATTCCACACATACAACAACACATGTTTGCTCTTGGGCTTTTTGGAGAACAGGACACAGAAAGCAGCCACCAAGCGATCTCAAAACTGGAAGCCAGAGCACGAAGGATCTCAAACCAGATAGACATAATGCGTTTTATTTTTTGTGTCGCATCTCCTGCAAATAGCTCCCTCATTGCGTGCTGCTGTATTGTATAAATTCATACTTTTATTCTGTACATGTTCATTTTGTGAAAAGAAATCGGTGCTGTATATTGAAGATACGTCAGTATATCATTATTCAAGAGGATACACAATCCATTGGATATAAAAAGTCATGAATGCAGGGAAGCGTTTTGGCTATCATGCTCATGACAAGTTCCATGTTCGTGCTGGAAACAAAATTTTGAGTGAGTCAATTTGTAAACACATTTTCCTGTCTTACGTGGCAGTTTTGTAAATATTTATCGTTAGGCTTATAAGTTATTAGCCATTCAATATGTGTTTGTTGTTTTGACTAACTATAAATAGACATACATTTTAAGAGCATCTAACTCAAAAACGTGAGCAGCCATGGTATTGCTATTTCGTACCAATAAAGAAGTTTAGTTGCTTTCTCTAAAGAACAAACTTGTGTTCACGTATGATATTTTTTGTTTGTGTAAGACGATAGAACATGTGTTGAAAAATTCATTTCACCGGCTACCGACTAGGGCTGTACCCCGGTAGCAAACCTGCTCGTGCTCACAAGCCCCTAGTTCAAGTCACAAGCCTCAAATCACTAGGTCAAATCATCAAATCAAATCACCAGCATGATAAGTTGAGTCTAGCGCAAACTGTAACCTTCTTGGTCTAGTCTAAACTTCAAGTCCACAGCAACTAGCAATCCGCGAAGCCACTCGTGTCACGCCCCCTCATCATCCCCACCCTGCTTGCAATCCGCGAAGCCACTTACGTCAGAAAAAGAGAGAGGGGGAGAGTGAGAGATCTCGCCCACAGAGTCATTGCGCGGCGTGGCGCTGTAGTTTAATCGATTAATCGGAGGCCTGCGCAAGCCTCAAGTCCCGTCCGCGGCCACAGGCCCCACAATTCACACAGTACTGATTTGCGCTAGGCTTAGAGATTTGCCCCAGGACAAGCTCCAAACCTGACCTGCTGATTTGTACTGTCTCGATACACTGAGCGAGCGGCACGGGCTCGATGGCGTAGGACCGTCTTGATGGCGACAAGACAGTCCGGTGTGTTCAAACAGCAAGACAGTACTGCCCGCTGTGTGAACTTTGAACCGTGGAGGAAGGGAGAGGCAGGGCTTGTTTTGGTGCAAGGCGTAGAGAGCTGAAGTTATTTTTAACTTCCCGCCGTTGATCTGCTAAGCGAATGGATAAGTGAGAGGGAGCGTGGTATTGTAGTAACAGAGACCTAGGTTTCTGGTAGTAATAAGAATAAGTTGACTTAGATAACCCTAAAATGGAAAACTCCAGGGGTCGTTGTGATTGGCTTTTGTATATTATGTATGTAACCTATTTTGTAGATGTGTTACACTCACAGTGACATAATACAGAACATTTAGGAGACGGGCTAGGCCTACTTCAACCCAATGTCAGGGCCAACCTGGGCTGAGAGGGAACAACGCCCCAGCAGAAAGACGGAGGTTCTCAGTAAAAAATTTCTCCCCATACGGGAATCGAACTGAGGTCTTTTGCGTGCGACGATGAAGCGCTTGGCTCGTGCACATTAAAAATAAACAGGCCTTAACATCATAAGAATAGCCGATCCAATATTAATTTTTAAGTGCATTGAATAGAGCTTTTTGTTTTTTACAACCGAACTATGAAAAAACCCCAACCGATCTTGCACTTTTGGTGCAAGCCTCTCAACGCAAATAATCAGAGAATCTATAATATTATTATGTACTGAGCCCACTGCCACGAGAGTTCGCGACGTCACGACACAGTACAGCAGGACTGTCCGCGAGTCACAACTCACCGGAAGTTCCCTCCGGTAGCAAGCGGGAGGCAAATCAAACCACAAGCCTGCTCGCAAGACTCTAGCGCAAGACTTCAGCTGCTTTACAAGCCTTCGATTAACCGAGCAGAATCCAGCCCTACTACCGACACAGGTAGCGGGAGGGCGGGTTAGTGACCTCTGGGTGACCGGCCCGCCGTGACCCGGTCACTCCATCGCCGATCTAACTAAAAGAGCGCTGTCTGTACGCTGTGGTCAAGACTAGCTTATCATTGTAATAATGACCAGTTGCCGAATGGAAAAAAAAAAAAGTGATGCGTTTGTATCTCTGCACCGTTTAACTCCAGGACCGCTGGTGCCCCCCGACACGCACACACAGTCACACATGTGCAGGCTGCCCATCCGACCCCGACACATGCAAGAGTAGACACGTGCGCGTGCCAACAACGCATGTGTTGGTATGAAAAAAGGCCGTTCATTGGTCGCGTGCAATCAGCAAAGGGAATAAATATAATGGTTCACGATGCAGGTGCAGTGGATGGTTTCCCAGAATACGGAAGATAAAGCTCGTTGTGGGAGAAAAATTAGCGAAGCCACGTCTACGGGAGCTGTTCACCCTGGAAGTGACCTCGTTGAATTCGAGCTCGCTGATTTAAGTGCTCGTTGAATCCGCGTTATTTTTATTGATTTTAAAGAAGGAAAAAAACGGGGAAACTATCTCATCTCGTTGAATCCGAGTTCCACTGTACCATCCATCTAGCATGTACCGTGAGGAACAAGTACACAGTGAAATACGGATATAACAAACAGATTTTCAGGTCTCAAAGTTTCTTTTATACGCGCACACTTTTTGTATTTAAAAATGTTCAAAGCAAAATTTTTAAATATTGAAAAGATTTGCGTGTCCTGATTTCGCTACGCGCTTGCTCGGACCAACTAGCTAGAAAAAAATTCAGCATAGGAATGTTGTGCTGAACCTTCCTACCGTCAAGGTCCACTCTAGTGGAGCTGGAGGCGCCAAAGAGAGGACACAAAGTTGTGCCAAACAGTGGACAGAAAAAGGACAGAGAGTTGCCAGCACGCGACAGTGACTCACCTGCGGTAAACTCTGCCTGCGCCGGCTGTGTGGCCTTGAGGTCAGGATAGGTGAGATAGACACAGGCCTCCCGTGATGCAGCGTGCGACTGTGAGCCAGCATGCGAGGCGTCCCGTCCCTCCCCGGCTAGAAGTAGGGAGAGCTCCAGGGAAGTGACCGCGTCGTTGACACAGCAAGCCCTCAAAATATCTTTGTACTTAGCCTGAACAGAGAGAGAGAGAGAGAGACACGTGTCAAGACATAGAGAGAGACACACAAGTCATGACACAGCAAGCCCTCACCATATCTTTGTACTCAGCCTGAACAGAGAGAGAGGCAACCGTCAGTCGCAGTCAGAGTTTTACCTCACTTCAAAAGACATTTGCCTCCTTTTAAGCAAACTGTTGGCGGTCACATACCCCGCAGCACTCTCTCGCTGAGTATTGACGGCGTACATGTAGTATAATATAGGCCCAGGGTTTTTTTGGTAACACTAGCAGGGGCTTTGTTTTGTGGAAGAAAAACCAAACTTGGCAAGAGAGGGAGTCCTGCTTCTCAGACGGCCACTTGTACCCAACACCGCCGTGACAAATGGGACCAAACCACACCGCCGTGACAAATGGGACCAAACCACACCGCCGTGACAAATGGGACCAAACCTTCAAATCTAGCGTTGAAAAAACTGATAGAAGTTAAGAGATAAGTATACCGATATTATATTTAGAATTTTTCGTTTTTCCCCAGCTGTATGAGTATTAGAAAGGCTTAAGAGTACAGTGAACAAACCCAGACAAAGCTAACAGCACAGTGAACAAACCCAGACAAAGCTAACAGCACAGTGAACAAACCCAGACAAAGCTAACAGCACAGTGAACAAACCCAGACAAAGCTAACAGCACAGTGAACAAACCCAGACAAAGCTAACAGCACAGTGAACAAACCCAGACAAAGCTAACAGCACAGTGAACAAACCCAGACAAAGCTAACAGCACAGTGAACGAAAGCAGACAAAGCTAACACCTTGACTCTAACCTTCAACACTGGCCCCAGACAAACAGCTGCTGTATGAGATAAGAACACAAACAGCTGCAGTACAAATCTAGCAAAGACAATGAAAAGTTACTTTTTGCTTTGGCCTTTTAAAAATTTGGTATCTAAAAAAAAATTTTCAATTCTGAGAATTATGCTTTTTGAATTTTAAGAATCGGTTCATAAATTTAAAAAAGTTATGGGGTTGTAACGGTTGGCAAAATATGGAAGACCCACATATAGGAAAATACTCCAAAAAGTGGATCACGCAGTAGCAGATTCTGTAAGATAATCGACGATATCTCGGTAATTAATTGGGGTGTTAGAGAGAAACTTGGCTACCCGATGTGTTTTTGGGTGGAGAAATCATTTCTGCAGGAAAATTTACGAACAATTTCGTAGTTATTTCGAATTACTGAACTGGGTAGTCGTACATTCAGGGTGACTGCCAACCCGGCTTCTCAATTTTCCAGAAGCACGTTACATAACAACGACAGCGCGCGCTCCATTCATACAAACATACACACACACACAAACACACATGTAGAGATACATTATATCCAGTCAACAACATGTCAGGGTGGCACTGGGATCTTGTGTGACCAGAGAGTTTACAGTAATACTAGAGAGACGGCACTTCGCCCGGATGCGCGTATCTGGGTCACCAGCTGATCGTGGAGAAACAAAACATACAGCGTCCATTGTTCAAGGCATTTTCGTTAATCTCAGACAAGCATGGCCCCGGTTAGCACGAAATGTCAATGGTGTTCTGCTATAAACCCCATCTATTGATATCAAAATCAGAGTTTCTTTCGATTTCCAAAGGATGACGAATAAATTTCTATGAATACAAAAATATAGATCAGAATAATGACAATGTGGCGTCGGTGGCCTAGTGGTTAGGCTCTCGGACTCGCAACCGTAAGGTCGTGGGTTCGAATCCCGTCAAGGGCCCAACGTTGTGTCCTTGGGAAAGGCACTTTACACGAATTTTCCTCACTTCACCCAGGTGGGAATGGGTACCCGGCTATAGACAGCGAAAGATCTTGTCAGTTTGTTAGTGTTTGAGCGCTTAATTGGCTGCTTGCACTGTATGCTTCCCGGGAAGCTGAGAATGTTTCGGAGTGTTCTGTGGTCTGCTGGGGTAATAATATGGTGTAAAGCGCATAGAGCCTGCTGTTGAGTGGGGATATGCGCTATACAAATGCTATCTATTATATCATTATTATAATGTGACTGTACCAGACTGACACTCCATGCACAAAACTCAACACACTTCAACTTTTTTATATCAGCTATAAATTGTGGGGGGGTTTTCCTATCTAAATGCCCAAATTGAGCTTGCATTCTACTAGTGAAAGATATGTTACCTGGATCTGCGAAAAGTTGTCTAAATACAAGGTGCCATCGATCGGTTTTGGTACTTTCTTTGTCCGATTACCACTTTTTTTTCTTTCTTTTTTTTTGGGGGGGGGGGGGGGGGGGTGGAATGTGTTAAGGATCCTGTTAAACTCTTTAAGTGGTAGATCTATCATTATTGCTTCATGTGCTTTTCCATGATCTGAAAGTGTGAGTGGAAGGTGTTAAGGATCATGTGTGTGTGTGTGTGTGTGTGTGTCATTATTGCTTCATGTGTGAGAGAGAGAGAGAGAGAGAGAGAGAGAGAGAGAGAGAGAGAGAGAGAGAGAGAGAGAGAGAGAGAGAGAGAGAGAGAGAGAGAGAGAGAGAGAGAGAGAGAGAGAGAGAGAGAGAGAGAGAGAGAGAGAGACAGACAGTCAGACAAATAGACAAATATTTTTGTTTTTGTAAAGTGTTTTACGGCGCTCGCAACTGCATAGGTCATATGAGCGCGCGGGACACTCCTAATATTTTCAGTTGGTAGGAAATTTTGAATTTTGCCCGAGTGGCGGCCGAAGCCTACTCTTATCGATTTTAGACCACCAAGGGATCTTTAACGTGCGCAACTTGCACACGGGCCCTCCGAGATTTTTCGCCCTTGTCCGAGAAGGCTAGGTGTAGATCTTTCCTACCAGAAGATCAGGGGTGTGGCAGAAAGACAGCAGTAAGGAGGAGCCAAGGAGTAGCAGTAGAAAGGCTGCTGAAAGAGTCAGGAGCCCAGAGGAGGGGGCAAAGGAGGTGAGGGGGTGGGGGCAGAAAGTGGAAATGAAAGCAGACAACAGAACATTGCTAGAGAGCTGGAAAGGAGGTGAAAGCAGACAATTTTAGAGAAGAAAATTTTTCGGTCGCTACCCGGATTCGAACCCGGGACCTTTGAATGAGAGGCCAACACCTTAACCTCTAGGCCACGAGACAAATAGACAGTGCAAGAGAAGGGGGAGAAGAAGAGACAAGGAGAAAGAAAAAGAGACAGACAGACATACAAAACAGACAGACAGACACACAGATTGACAGAGCGAGAGAGGGTGAAAAAGAGAAAGAGAGAAAGAAAGAGAAAGAGAGGCAGAGAGACAGAGCGAGAGAGAGACAGACAGACAGACAGAAACAGAGACAGAGAAACAGATTGACAGACAGACATATAGACAGAGCGAGAGAGGCGAGAAAGAGAGACAGAGAAAGGGAGAGAGAGAGAGAGAGAGAGAGAGAGAGAGACAGACAGGTAGACAGACAGGTAGACAGAGGGAGAGAAAGGGGGGGGGGGGAGAAAGAGAGACAGGGAGAGAGAAAAAGACAGACGTACAGAGGGAGAGAGAGAGATGACAGAGGGACACTGGAGAACGAGTAGATTTGCTGAAAATTAGACCCAATTACTCCTTTAATTACAGGGAAATTATTTTTTCAGATCTACAGAGAGGAAGTAATGATTTGCGTCTATTCGTTTATTAGAATGTATGTTAACTTAAGCAAAAAACAAGTCTTACAGTTTATGGCCAAGGGAAATAGGGGGGGTGGGGTGGGGGGGTGTGTGCCTGAAATATGCGATAGAAATCACAGGCCTCCTTCTTTGTTAAAGGCCTAGTAACTTAATGAACTAACTACAGACGGTACTACATTTTCCCTGGACATGACAGCATCCCTGAGCATCGCCGTGTCAGCGATCACCACGCGTAAGTGTTTTCGCGCCCCGCGCCGGGCGATACGTGAAACAATGCACTGTTGTCATGGAGCGCCGCCACGAGTATCACCTCTCTATTACTGTAAACCCTCTCTGGTGTGACTTAGATCTAGGTATTTCAGTCTGTTCTCACTTATATTTACATAATTTTCCCCTCATCATATTTGCCTTAGTTATAAACTACATGTATATAAAAATGAATTCTTGCTTTGAGCCTCAGAAAAGGCCTAGAACCAGAATATTGAATGTCAAGAACCAGTTTGGGTGTCAAGATTTATATAATAAACGTGAAAAACAAAAATTATAGTTCAAACTCAAAGTGTAATAACTAGAATAGCTCCAGTAAACCTATTCAGTGTGAGAGGTGTAAGAACTGAGGGAGGGCAAGAGGCAGTGACACTGAAAATCTGCCAATCTTGAACAGAAAACAAAAATATAGATAATACATGTAATTTACTATCACTAGATAGAGAGAACGAGAGACAGAAAAAGAGAGAGAGAGAGAGAGAGAAGAAAAAAGTATGCATTTGATAAGGTCACTACTCTCTAAAAAAAACCCAAAGACAACGAAACAAACATACTATCAGTATCAGCCAACCAATGAAACGCGAACTGTTTGATTAAAAAACACGGCATACAAAGTTTGAGTATGACGGATCCCAATTCCACACAAGGCCTGAACCAACACGTGCTTTGCAGAGAGCTCTAGTAATAATAAAAATTCTAAATACTAAAATATTTGCTTACAAGTTCAGTTTTTTTCATCCGGAGTTGCCTTAACCCCCCCCCCCCCCCCCCTCCCCCCGACTGTATCTTTTATTTAAAAAATCAATAATCCCCCCATTCCCGAGCCCTATACTTCGAAGCACTCAGACTTTGAATGAACTTCGTGACCCAAATGCGACACTCACAATGTGATGCGAACGCACAGGTTCCCTTACTGGTCACGATGGCGAGCCCGACAAGACGCTTGTATAACTTCCTTTTTCCCCCCGCAAGTAACAGCATAGGACAAATATTGATTGATGTTCATGGCGACACAGCGTGTGCACTACACAACCTGCATGTTACAACTGTTAATAATAATAATAACAAAAGACATTTCCATAGCGCTCAACCCCGAATCAAGTACTCAGGCTCTGAGCGTTTTACCATACAGTATAACGTACAACAGTAAAACCTTGCATTAATCAGACTGCTAGCGGCAAATTTCTGGGTGGTAACGAAAGCGAAAGTAGATGGAGCTTCGATATGACATCGCCATAGCCGCCTGTTCGCGTGGAGCGCACTCTCAGCCACCTGTTCGCCTGGAGCGCACTCTCAGCCCCCTGTTGGCGAGAAGCGTAGGCCTCCTCTCAGACCGGAAACAGCTGGATGAATACATCACAATTACAACCAGAAAAATGAACCCAAAGACGTTATCCCATTTGGTTTTTTAATGTTCGAGAACTTTTATGTATTTTCCCGGGTCTTTCGCGGGGCAATTTACAGATTTCCTCAAATTCCTGGGTCTCTGCGATTTTTATCAAATTCCCGGGGGCCCCAGGATTACCGGGGCCTGGCAGTCACCTTGATTTATGACAAATTCTAAACAACTACTTGACACAGAACGTTCAAATTTGAGCACACTATAGAGGATAGATAGATCTCTTACCCTCTCTGTGTTGAATATCAAGCTCCTTATAGTTTCGGTGTACCCGATACAAAAGTGTTTCCGACACCAAAAGTATAGGTTAATTTATGGGTATGAACTTCGACTTCCACATATCATTAGTTTGCCCTATTTTCTGATTAGCTGCCGAGTTTCCTTCACATTGGTCCAGAAATAGCGCAGAACGAGCTCGAGGAAGTTAGTCACTACCGTTCCGACCGTCACTACCGTTCCGACCCGGTCCAAAAATTCATCCGCAAACGGGGAGCCGCGCGCGCAAATCTGATTGGCATTGCTAACAAATGACCTCTCTGTATCCTCACCTTGACCTCCTCCAGCTCTCCTTTGCGCTGCACGTATGCAGACAGCAGTCGGGCGATGTCGTCCATGACAGAGCTCCACTCCGGGGTCTTGGTCTTCTCCAGCATGGCATGGACGTCGATGAAGTACGGGACAGTCGTGGCCCGCACCTGGAACACGTGGGTCACCTCGTCACATCTCTCCTTTTGTTGTTGTATGTAGTAGAGGTTTAACGGCGCTCGCAACTGCATAAGGTTATATGAGCGCCAAGGGGTGGATGTCAACAGAGAAGTCCAAACGGGGACTCAGACTTACTCTGCTCACCTCTCTAGCCTCAACAGCACAAAGTCTGCTTCGACTATCAAGGCACCCCGGAAATAGCACTTCACAAGAGAGTGACAAACATAAGAAGTAGAGGAAAAATGATGATAGTAAAGATGAGGAAAGAAAAAGCAGCAGTTCCCCCTATGTTGTTCTGGCACAGTATGAGCATGACATTGATAAATCAGCCCATTTACAATTCTACAGTGCAGAAGAACATGTTAATATCCCCCTTTTTGGGAATGGCCCAAAGACACTTGAGTCAGTAGCACTGCCCTGGCGGGGATCACATCTCTCCTTTTCTTGCCTCCATCGCATGTGTGTTACTGTCTTCTGACACATCGAATTTACAGCTCTTATGACCTAACTGTGTTGCAGAGATGCCAACCACAGAAAACCGAAATGAGTATTGGGAGATATGAAAATGTGTATTTTCAGGGGAAAATGTGTATTCTCCACGACCGACCGACCAACTAGTAAAATGTTCAGGGTGTCCAGCAATATTTCCTGAAAAAAATTTACTAGCTCACCAGCTCGAAAAAGGGAGCACACACGCGTACAATATACATGTATGTAGTCAACAACATGTTAGTGTTCAGTGTCGTACTGGGGTCTTGTTTGACTTAAGTATTTCAGTCTGTTATAATATTTTCCTCTCATTATTATTATAAAAAATGAATCCTGTTTTGAGCGTTCGGAAGGGCCTAGAACAAGAATTTCAACTATCAAGAACCAGTCTGGGTGTCATGATTCATAATATGAACTGACCGACTTAAATTATTGCTCAAACTCAGAGAAGAGCAATAACTTGAATGGCTCAAGTAGACCCATGCACTGTGAGAGTTGTAACAACTGCGGTAGGGCAAGATGCAGTGACACTGAAAATCTGCCAGTCTTGAACAGAAAGCTACAACATACACTGTAGGTATAATTTACTATCACCCATCCAATGACACGCTAACATTTTATTTCAATAACACAGACTTGCAAAATATGAAGGGTCCCGATTCCGCCCACGGCCTGCACCAACGCGCGCTTTGCAGAGAGCTCTAATAAAAATTCTGGAATTTGCCTCCAAGTTTTTGTCCTCTGGTGTTGCCTTCACACCTCCTCCCCCCCCTCGAGTATATAAAAAAAAAAAATCAATAATCCCCTCCCGTAGTCCTATACTTGGCAACGCCGTTACTCCCACCAAACACGGTCTTTGCTCACACGAAGCCGCATTTATTTGTGATGCGAATGCGCGCAGGTTCATTGACCGGTCACGATGGCGAGCCCGACAATCTAAAAATCGGACGACGCTTGTATTTCTTTTCTTTTTTTCCTACAAGCGACAGCACAGAGACGAGTCCGAGAAATGTTATTTGCATGGCGACACAGCGTTTACCTGCATGTAACAAATAAGTTGCGTTATCAGTCTACCGCTGGCAAACTTCTCGGTGGTAACGAAAGCGAAAGTAGATCTTGATTTTCCCGATCAAACCTCCGTGTCACATACACTTCCGTCTGCCGCCATAGCCAGCCGCCTGTTCGCGTGAAAGTGAAACATACTCTCGGAGGAGGAAAAGCTAAACGAATATAATATCACAATCGCGACCAGCAACATTGAACTTACTGACCTTATCTCACTTGGTTTTCAAATATTCCAGTTCCACGATACTGATACTATTTTGACAAAAGATGGGACTTGAGATAATTAGGTTTACTCGCCCAAACTGGATCTCATATTTTTCGGATTCCAGGATGCGTATTTTTTCATGAAAAGTCGTATTCACGTATTTTCGGCAAAAAATCGTACTAAAATACGTAAAATCGTACTGGTTGGCATCTCTGGTGTTGCAAGCACAGTAAAACTGTTACTAAAACTATACTGAATCAAAGATTATTTGACTATCTCCAACAAACCTAAGTTAAAAACTCATGAAAGACGTACACTTAAATTAAAAGTAGGCACTATACACACCCACATGTCCCTCACCTTGTAGCGGCCGTCAGTGGAGGCAATGTTGAGCACAAAGCTTTGGGCCACACTCTTCCACAGTCCTGTGAAGGAAACAACCAGACAGTCCCAGTCCACCTCAAGGACGGTCAAACCACACGGCCCTGGGGACAGACAACACGGACTCTTGTTGATGCAGTTTGAAGACATAGGCATGACACACTGTACTATCTTACAAACATCCTGCTCCTTTCACAAATACTTCCTTGTGACAGGAACAGTACAGCAGCAAGCTTTTAGTTTAGTAAGAGTTTTATGGCACTTGCAACACACTAAGGTCATATAAGTGCCGAAGGTTAGAGGTGTTACAAGAGGGTAACAAACACAAAAAAGAAGGAGGGGAGATAAAAACTACAGATGTTTGATAGGAAAGAATAAGCAAACCACAGCAGAGCACCCGCCAACCACAGAAGCAAGCTTTGCTCTCATCAACAGTGTAAAAGCATGACATCAGAAAAGCTCTTCTTGACTCATTTACCTCCTGCTACCCCCGGGGAAAAGGCTCACACTACAATGGCACAGATATAGCAGCTTTATTTCCCTGACAGCTCTCCGCCGGTGCTAGGACTTAAGCAGGGTTCCTGCCATGAACTTCCCATCAAATTCAAGGAGGTTTCAAGGAGAAATTTTTAAAATTCGAGGAGGTTTGGTCAAGAAATTCACGACGAAAGCCTGTTTTCGATAGGCCTACACTTATCGGAAAGGAATCATATCATAGTTTCGATTTCCAACAAAAACTGTTCTCAGGGTGACTGCCAACCCAGCTTCTCAATTTTCCAGGTGGGCTCATCCATTCTCCAGGGGCATGTTACATAACAATGACAGTGCATGCTCCATTATATTTTATATATAATATATACACACACGCGCGCGCGCGCACACATGTGGGTACATTATATCCAGTCAACAACATGTCAGTGTGGCACTGGGATACTGTGACTTAGGTATTTCAGTCTGTTCTTATACTTATTTATATTTTCCCCTCATCATACTCGCCTATATAAACTATATAGAAATGAATCTTGCTTTGAGCCTGTGAAAAGGTCTAGAACCAGAATATCGACCGTCAAGAACCAGTTTGGGAGTCAAAGTTTATATATAATAAACGTGAAAGACAAAAATTATAGCTCAAACTCAAAGTAGAGTAATAACATGAATGGCTCAAGTACACAGACCTATTTAGTGTGAGAGGTGTATAAACACTAACTGTGGGAGGGCAAGATGTAGTGACACTGAAAATCTGCGAATCTTGAATATAAAGCTAAAATATACAATATAGTACAATACATATCACCTGCCCAATGAAACGGGAACCCTTTAGTTAAAAAAACCCAAACACGGCTTACAAGGTTTGAGTGAGACAAGTCCTGATTCCACACAAGGCCTGCACCAACGCGCGCTTTGCAGAGAGGTCAAGATCTAGATCTATAGCAATCAAAATTCAGGAAAGTAAAATCTGCTTCAAAGTTCAATTTTTGTCCTCCGGTGTTGCCTTTAAACCCCTCCCCCCTCCCCTCCCCCGCGTGCGTCTTTAAAAAAAAAAAATCAATAATACCCACATTCCCGAGTCCTATACTTCGCAGCGCTCAGACTTAGCATGAACTTTGGTGACCTCAACCATCGCCGATACTATGTGACGAAAACGCACAGGTTCAATGACCGGTCACGATGGCGAGCCCGACAAGAAGCTTGTATAATGTTTTTTTTCTTTCTTTTTTTTTCACAAGCGACAGCACAGGACAAATGATTTATTTTCATGACGACACCGCGTTCGTAATGCAGAACCTGCATGTTACAAATGTGGCGTTATCAGACTACTATAGGCCCTACCGGCAAATTTCTAGGTGGTAACGAAAGCGAAAGCAGATCTTGATTTTACAGATTGAGGCTCAGTATCATATACACTTCCACAAGTTGCTGCCATAACCGCCTGTGCGCGGGTAACGTACTCTCGGGCCAGGAAAAGCCGAATGAATATTATATCACAATCGCGACCGGCAAAAATGAACTCAGGGGCCCCCGGAATTCCCGGGGCCTGGCAGTCACCCTGTGTTCCTGTCCGATCTGGCAAAATTCAAGGGGTTTTCAAGGACATTTTTCCTTGAATGCAAATTCAAGGAGTTTTCAAGGAGATTTTTCCTTGAATGCAAATTGAAGCAGTTTTCAAGGACGCCTTGAATTCAAGGAGGCCGCGGGAACCCTGCTTAAGGACTCAGGTGTCGTTGATGTCCACTATGCCAGGGCCTGCTCTAGCCCTAGTACAGCTCAGGTGTAGCTGACGTCTACTGTCTAGCCCTAGTACAGCTCAGGTGTAGCTGACGTCTACTGTCTAGCCCTAGTACAGCTCAGGTGCCACTAGATCACCTTTCTCCTGCACAATTCCCACTTTCCTGAACAGATTGGTTCCACGTACCCATCACTCTGCAGGCAGCAATCTTCTCCTTCAGGTCCCGCAATGCACTCCTCGACTCGGAGACAGATGCATCCTGAGACGTGTCCAGCGGGCCCCCGTTCCTGTCTCCCTCCGTCAGACGCTGCAGATGGTCGCACAGCTCTTCCTTCTCCCGCCTCAGAGCCACTATTTTCTCCAGCTGCCTCTTGATCTACCCCAGCAGAAAGTAGAAACAATGACACAAGACGTGACAAAAGACATCGTTACAGCCCCGAGAGGAACTCACCACCACTTTATGACACATCAGGAAAATAATTACGATCATTGAACAACTGTCATTTCCCCCTTTTTAAAACAAGATTACGTTCATTATGATTTTGTACAATTATCCACTAGCTGCTGAGATGCCCCTTTAAGCCCCCCATTTAAAAAATGTTGTTTTTTTTTTTTGGGGGGGGGTGTGAGGACAGGGAGAGATGAGAGGACCTAAATACTGTTACATCAGGACAGGGAGAGATCAACTGTTACATCAGTTCATAAGACAAGGGCGTGACACCTGAAGCAGTCGTGACTACCAGTATTGGCCTCCACTGTCTACAGCAAGGCTTGGATGAATTTCAAGTATTCAACAAAAGTAAACTGCTGAAGTGTGACCAAGTGTCTGAGCACAAGAGACATTACCTCCTCACACTGGGCCCTCTCCTTCTGTCTGCCAGCCCTCGCTGCTCGTAGCTGACCCAGTGCCTCGATAGACTCTGCAACACAAGCGGGACAAACAGGATTACACAACCAACTTTTACAAAAAGCAGAGCTTGATTTCCTTCACCATAAAATAACGATTGTTTTCTTTTAGCTCCCGAATCTTTGCTATTGCTACTCAGCTGACTACCTCCAGTTTGCTATTTTTGGATTACTATAAAAAAATGTTCTCATGATTATTGAGCCAACACAGCACTTCCAAATTCTTTTTCAACCCTATCAGTATGTCGTGTTTTACAATTGTATCTATACTACGTGGGGAACTCTGTGCCACCACTTTCCAAAAAGGAAATTTACCCATCAATCCGATCCGTACGCTTTGCCTAGTAGTCTGTCAAAATGATTTTTTGAGAAATACTTCAAAGAGATCTTCGTACTTCTAGAAGTATTCTAAAATGTGACGAATACAATCCCGGAGGGTACAAAATGACCCCAGGGCGTACGGATAGGGTTAAAATCTCAAACTTTGTGGTTTCTTTTTAGTCTTTTAAGATTTAAAAAAAATTCTCCAAAAGTAATGTCAGTGTAAATGGCAAAGTTCTCAGTTCTGTGGAAGTGCCTATTTTGCAACGCCGCGTTGCCATTAGCGCCAGTGCTAAATAATGGACGAATGGACAGCATGTCTGCGTATGAAGCCAAACCATCATTTTATGAACGTGGATTCGAATCCCGGTCCTGGAATTTTTTATTTTTTAAAAATGTTTTTTTCTCTTCTTCTCCTCTCTCCGACTGTCCAAAAAGTTTTTCCCATAATTATTATAACTTGTCGCTTTGTAGTTTTTTATGTAGTGATGAAGCATACACATTCTGGCTTTGTCCCCAAGAGGAGCTTTTACCTACAAAGTATACTTTTCTTTTTACCAGTAATTAGGCCTGGTTAAAGTTCAATAGGGCTTTCCTTGGTCTGTGAGTCTCATTATTTTTTCATTTTAAATTTTAGGCTCAGGAAAAGAAAAAAATAACCTTCCAGGACAGGAATTCGATGTCACGCTTGGAAGCACTGAACATTCATTAGAGAACGCATAGAGACAGCTTGTGTATACGTTCTCTAGGCTTAACGTTAGAGAACGTACATACTAGGTCTACCCCCTGCTAATTAAAATGCCCAAGCCTAGATAAGGCGACCTCATGTGTGATGGAAAAAATATTGGCATGGCGTTTCAAAGAGCATGGGAGCTATTCAGAACGCAGAGTTTCAAATAGCCCAGGAACTATCAGAACATGGCATTGCAATATTGCAATATAGTGCCAAGTCTGTGACCCTCAAAAGTCTCTCTATGCTTCTGGCTATAATTAGAAATCTATAATTATGGGCTAAATTTTTGTCAAACGGGTACTATCGTTTACTAAACCTCACAAACCACCTCAGTATTTGGTGCAAAAAACTGACATGCGATTAAAAGTAGAAAGACGCAAACTATTTTTAGGTAAGGCGCCCATCTTGTTTGACGTCAGACCAGGATACCCCTCCGATCATGTGACTAAATCTAAGTATAGACAACCGCATGGCACCAAAGATGGAAGTGTCTATGTATATATGATTATCATTATGATGCTTAATCTACACCTTTCTCTTGGAAGTTCTGATAGCTGATTTGACAGCGCGTCTGCATTTGATGTCGTGCAATGAATTTTGGAGCGGTTCGATTCCGGTCCCGGACAGTTTTTTTTTCTCTTTTCCTCCTCCCGACTGACCAACAGTTCCATAAATTATAGGCCTAATTTGTAGGGTTGCTTTGAAGTTGTTTTAAAAAAAAAAATGTATTAGTGATTAAAAATGCAGGAGGGGGGGAGGCGGGGTAGATATCTAAATTTAGATATATAGATCTATCTAGATCTAGATCTAGACATCTAGTCCTCCTGCGTCTTTACGGCAATTTTCGTGCGGTCTTCCATCATGTCCACTAGAGATCTAGAATCTAGATCTAGAATCTAGATCTAATCTAAAATCTAGATCTAGGAAATCCGGAATGTTACCGAAAACACATCGTTCCATGTGCCATCATCATGTGGGTATCCCAGGAAGTGATGACATCACATTACTAAAATTAGCAGCCAATCAGAAAGAAGATGCGTCTTTTCTACGTTTAACGGGATGTAATAAACTGACCCCAACTGGCAAACCAAAGACGGAAAGAAAAAGTTTTTCATGAGGATCCTCTCAACAACAAATCTTTAGCGGCTCACAGACGTAGAAGAGACCAGATTTTGCTCCTCTAGCCAGTCCAGGTCTAATACAGGCCTGGAACAGAGGGAGTAGGGGTAGGGACAGTAGAGTTAGGGTCAGTTAGGGTTAGAATCTAGATCTAAGACAAGACTAAGGTTAAATCTAGGATCTAGATCTAGATATATATCTAGATCTAGATCTAGATAATCTATTCAATAGTCTATATCTGTAGATAGATCTACATCTAGATAGGTCTCTTCTTTACTGTGTAGTGTTTGTTGGGGTGGTCGCTTCCAAAATTTCTGGAGTTAGGCCGAAGAGAGCCCAGATTCCAGTCAGTCAGTTGAGTCACCCTTCAGTTCAGTCAAGATCAGCAGTATCAACACAGTGGATAAGACAGACTACAAAAAAGGAGAATCTAAACAAAAGGCTTTAGTTTCAGATCACTCACGCATGGAGCTAAAAGTAAAAGGCTGTTCCTACTGCCTTGAAGGAACTGTGCTTCACCATAAAGGAGCACCTGATGGTTCGACCTAACCAACTGATCAACTTGTCAGTCTTTCAGTAGCCTAACCAATAATTAAACAGCATCACAATCACTGATTGATAAGGCAATGCAGTTCGTTCGAAACATTAGAATTTGCCGCCATCTTTCCGGAAGTGCATAGATCTAGTGAACTGTGCTATTGTTGTTTTCATAGTTTTATAAGATGTGGTAGCCTAGATTGCTGACACGAGTGTATTGGGGATTCCCCTTAATGGTGCCAAACGGGGTAATCATGCAACCTCGCCACTCGCCTGTGGGAGGCAAGAAGCAAGCAGGCGCTACGGTATGTATATTACAATTGACAAATTGGTAATCAGAAGTGGACGTGACATGAGCCTTTATCCACGTCTGCTGGCCCAGCCGGACCAATGTTTGTTCCTTGAAGAATTAATGTTCCGCGCGCGCGTGCGCGCACACACACACACACACACACACACACACA